TAATTTCTATGTATCCGAACTTTCATTTGTTGTTATTTTTAATCTCCAATTCACTACCCTAATTTATTTTCCCCAAACTGTTTATAAAATTAATTTTATTTATAAGTGAAGAAACTTACTTATTTTTGTGCATTAATTATTAACGGTATTTTATATAACTTTCTACGAGACGTTTCTGCTCTATTTGTTTTATTTTTTTTGGATCGATTCATGCTGAATGTTATGTTTACCTCGATGCTTTATTAACCGTTGATCTTGATTTTGTATCATTTTAAACATTCAAATCTTCAAATCCATCTTTGTTTCATCTATTTATCCTTCATTTGGAGCCGATGAGGCGTTCAAGTGCAGGCTTGGAATTTGAGCACAAGTTCTCGAGTGAATTTTCAGAGGGGGATAAAGACGGTGAATTTGTTGAGAAATTCAAGTCAAGTAGGGTATGCATTTTCTACTTCTTTTGATTGCATGTCTATGTTCAATCTATGATTAGTTTGATAGAACTATTTCACAAGGTGAAGACAGATTTTTTACTCGTAGTGTTGCTGTTCGTAGTTCAGTTATCTAATTCAGTCCTTGTTAAACCTTGAAAAGAATGGGACAGCGACATCTGAACATGTTGGGGTCATTTACTTTTCCTTGATTTGCTAGAGAGCAAGTTCGAAAACATGGATTTCTAAGTTTTGTAATTGGACTCATAAAAACTTCATGCATCATACAAGATGTTTCCAACTGTAAATAATTGGATTAGAAATTCTTACAGAAGTTTCTTCTTAAGGAAATATAGACAATGAACACATGAGAATAGACGATTTAGGATTTACTACTAGTTTGCTATGCTCTTCACATTGACATATCTTGAGGTGCTATCTGGTGGTTTTGTTGTACTACTCAAGAATCCCCAAATAAACATGTAATTATCTAGTTGAGTTCTAATTATCAATCAACTGAAACAATTTAGTTGCTTATCTCCAATGTCAATTCTTCTCAGTTTCAACAGTAAAACAGAGATCAATTTACAGGGATCCAAATGATCCAAAGTTGGTACATCTTATTAAACTTATGTTCGCTTGATATTTTTAGTTTTGCGTATTGTACCTTGCTACCTTTTGCTACCTTTTGACTTGCTGAAGAGATGATAATGTTTTCTATTTAACTGTTGCATAAATGTACAGTTGAATAGGGTAAACCAAAAAATCTTGCTGATAAATGATAAGTATTGCTAAAAGGAAACCAATGGGGAAAACCTGTAGGTTAAAAATTGTCAATCATATGCAGTCTTCTATGCTATCCAGAAAGCTAGAGAAATCCATGTACACATGTTGTGTCTGTTAAAGTGCTATAGCACTTCACTAAATATTTTTTGTACCTAATGCAGAAAGTTCCCCCTTTTAATGTGCCAGACCTACTGGCATGTTTAGTTAGGCAGTCTAGCCCATTTTTGGATCAAATTGGCATTTATAAAGGTATGTGGTTGATTATGGTGAAGTTCTATTCTTGGTGAACTACTGGCATGTTTAGTTGAGAGCTTTATTCACTTGATAAATGGACTATATTTGCATGGTTTGCATAGTTCTTGAGAAAATGTCATCTTGCTTTAGTCCCCTGGTTCATCTCATATTTAATCGAATACAGTTTATTTGGTGCACTTGTATCTGCCTATTTGACTGTATTGTTTATACAAACTTGGGAATTAATTGGTTAAGAATTTTCCTTAGTCATTCTCCATCCAAGTGAAATTATAACTGTTTTGTTATACTTCTAAATACTCTTTCTTTATGTGCATTCTTTATCATCATGAACACGTCCTCGTATTAAAATTTTAATTTTTTTTAAGGCTTTTAAATATCCTCTAATCTTTCCCTTATTTTTCTTTCACATAGGTTTTGCAGAGCTATCAGCTGATTTATGGGCTGTTTTATATCTTGTGAATTGCGTTTGTAGGATGAGATGGGGACTTGTGCGTCCAAACTTTAAAATGCATGTTGCTGAATGATTTTATATATAGTCAGGATCTACACAAGACTCAATATTTTTTACCACGTCAACTACCTTCCAATGTATGCAGTATACAGAGAGAGTTAAAAAGAAGAACGTGATACTCGAGAGGTAGAATATATAGTTTGAGTGAAGATGGAGCAAATGATACAGAACAAGCTGAAGGTAGTTGAGAACAACTCAATTATACGTTGTGAGATTTAGTAGCATATCTATTTCATGGGGGTGAAGACTTACGTTTTTTTGGCTGCATATATATAGATCATTTTTTATATTGTTTTTAAGTTTATATGTAACTATACTTCATGAATAATTTTTATTTGAGTTTTGGTGTAATAGTTTGGATTCAAGGTTACATTGATTGGCACTACATGTCTTCATTAATTTATTATCTTTTTGAATTTTTATGTTACTTTGAACAAGGTTACCAAAATTAATAAAATATCAATAATAAACAATTAAATATCTTCCTACAAATTATTTTATTGTGCAAACAAATAATATGCTTTTCCCACACAAAAATTTATTTGTAGGAAAAAACAAGATTTAGCTGACAACATAATTTGTAGGGAAAGGTGATATCGTTTTGTAGGCCAAAAGTAACTTTACTAGACGAATGATTTTTGTCGGGACAAAACTTACACGACGTAGTATATTTGTCTCCAAAGAATTCGTAGGGAAAAACTTCTCCCCACAAATTTCAAAATTTTGTAGGCTAAGGTCTTTCCTCTCGATGTTTGCCCCACAAATGTGCCTACAAATTTTTTTTGTCTGCAAAGAATTTTCCCCACAAATAAGAAACTTTCGCTACATATAAATTTTGTAGGGAAAACATAAAATTCTTGTGGTGAATAAATATTAAGATCAAATCAATAAATTAAATAACATCATGATTTGATCATAGAGGAAGATCCTCGAGGATAGAATAACCTCCTGGAAAACTTGGAAAGTAAACAATCCAATAAAAAAGTTTATCTTATAATTAGTCCATATGCTGTTGAGCATGACTCTGGCCACCTAACTTGTAAATTACCAAAGAACTATTTTGGTTGTGCACGTCCACACTTCCGAGAACCATGGGCTACTTTTCTCCTATTGGACCACAAAGAACAAACCTTATTCTTCAACACTAGAACTCTAAGCACCTCTTCTCAAAGCTTAAGATTTCTCAAGGTTTATAGATGAAGGTAGAGGGTTGCTTAGTGCTAAAGCAAGAAATTTATAAGAATATGTAATGGATCTTCAAATAATGTTCTCTTGACTTAAAACAAAAACTCGACCAATGGAAAACAATAAATGTGAACAAATAATAAATATATTTGTGATTGAACCAAGAGATCTTTTGAAATGAGTATATGATCTTCAAATAATGATCTCTATAATGAATATTAAATATAATATTCAACCACACTTTGGAACGTTCCATGGCTTGTGTATTTATAATAGATAGTGCTTAGGGTGAAAATGGATTGAAAATCACAGTTAAAATCGAATCAAGATTCTTGCTAGATAATATTGCCTCTTGAGCACTAGGTATGAACCGAGCGGCAGCCCACCTTAGTTGCTGCCAAGCAAGCACCAATGATCCTGCTTCAATTTGCATTGCACCGCTCGAGCGCTGATCCTAGCAACTAACTGTGGCTATAGGTCCACGTTTCTTGATCTTCTAGTTATCTTCAACTCCTATTAGGACTATCACCCCACAACTATTTTTACTATAGCAAAGACTAAATAACTCCTATTTTAACTTTGATTATAACCTGATTAACTCATAATACAATTCAACTAATACATGATTTTGATTAAGGCAATTCCCAATCACATAATTTGGACCTAAACTGTGGTGATCATAACAAGACTAGGTGGTAGTGGCTAATTGGCGCATCGTAAAATGCATCACAATTGTATTAAACAATAAAGCATGGGATGATTGCACTTTTAATGGATTAATAAAAAACTTAGGTGACTAATTATAAATTGGAACTAAAAAGTTAGCTAACGACCTTGGAGCTTTGCTATAGGGTTTTTGTTTTTTGTTTTTTGTTAAACAGTGCTTATATTGGATTATATGAATTGATAAAGAGAGATGGAAGAGTTGCGTAAGATTGTGAGAGCTCATTATCGAGTAGGCTCTAAACAAGTTCAGGCTTTAGCACATGATTTATTCGATTCTATGGACAGTGATGTCGATGGTCTGATTGATCTGCCAGAGTTCCTAGCATTCATGAGACAGGAAGGCCATTACCAGATGAATAATCCTTACTTTTTCAAGGAGTTAGATAGAGATGGGAATGGCACACTGGATTTCTAGGAGGTAATGACTTTATACTACATCATAAAAAGCAGAAGGCCATGATTTTTGTGGGAATTTTGTACTCGGAATATTTTTCTCGTGTGTTGAATGCTCTTTCACCCTATGCCATGATTGTTATCGGTCTACTAAATGTAATCACAATCACAATGGTCGCACTCAGTTTTTGGACAACTACACATTGCTCCAAGCCAAACAAGATTCATCACAGGCAACACAGATTATTCTTACGCGGTATGTCTAACACATTTCAATCACTACCAAAAAATGCAGCTTCAGTGACGGCAAATCCATCACTGAAGCTATGATTTCCGTTGGTAAAAGGTCGAGAAAAATGTCGCTACATTGCCCGCTGCTAATTTAGTGAGAGATTTAAAAAAACATCTGTAATTACAGACAAATTAGCGGGTGAATTTTGGTTGGCAATTACCAACGGGTTTGATTTAGTGACGATTTCAGCAACAACTCATCCGTCGCTAATTACCTACAGAATTGGGTCATTACTAATCAGCGACGAATTTTCGTTGCTAATTTGAATTAAAAAAGTTTTTAAAAATACTGATTATTATAACAATATTTCTTTTCTTGGAACAAAAATTATTACATTTTAAACTCAAAAAAAAAAAAAAAAAAAAAAAAAAAAAAAAAAAAAGAGCACGAGTTCAAATTTTAATGCACAAACTAGCAAACCATGTTACAAGAAGTTGCAAGCATACTCCTACAATTCCTTACTTTTGAAGTTCGAAACAACATAACAAGTGCATTATTTAATTACACGTAAGAGGAACTCAAAAATTGGAAAAGGTAATAGGAAACGATCCCAAAAATATGGACAATCCAACTTAACTACTGAAATGAACACGTGTACAAAATCACGTATGTCCAAAAGGCAGGTGGCTTTCATAAAACATTGGGTATTTCATTCCGTACACTCACAAGGATAAGTACCATATAGATTCATGGATATTAAATAGAACCACAAGCACACTCCATCTGTTATCGATGTCTATCACAACCAAATCAATACTATTCTCGTATAATTCTCAAAAGGGATACCAATTGCCTTGTGCTACAAAGAGAGATAATACAACAGCATTTAAACAATACCTATTGTGGAGAAACAAAATTAATTTAAATGAATACCTCTATGGCAATCTAAGCATATTGTTGGATTGAATCTGCAGGAGCATCATCACGGGCAAAACCAGCCTGCAGGAGTAAAATTAAACAAGTCCCTCGAAATTAATTACATAATAAATTGAATACAGAAGACTAGAGAATTTAAAAATGCTTACGAACCTTCACCATTCCAGTTCCATTGTCACAAACGAGGGGCTGAATATCTCACCATAGGCCATTTTCTATGAACTGGAAACCACAGCATAAAACCAATATAGAAATAAGAGATGATAAAAGAAAGTACATGTACTATTGCGGTATGCACAAACAAGTGCATAGCATAAACTGAAACAATGTCAGATGACACAGATGGAGAAAAAGGAATAACATGTTACATGTAACCTTCCTGTGAGAGAAAACTTTATAATTTATTTTACGCATAAAAAGATGACAATTGATAACAACAATGTAAGTGCGACTAAATTGTAAATTATAATTGCAATGCTAAGTACTAACACTTGATTTACAAGCACTGAGAATTTATTAAACTTTTTGGAGCAATATAAGTAATGTTAATTTATTCACAACAGGAAATACATAATCCGTGCATATTAGACACCACTTCCTTTTTATCAAATATTTTTTTTTGCTTTTCAAAATGAGACGTCATTTTAGAAATAACACTGTATCTCTTTTTATAATTAAAAACCAATAAAATAAGAACGCAAAATAAAAATTAAATCCACAGATCAACGATCAACACCATTAAATTACATATACAAAACTCAAAATAAAAGAGTTATTTTTTTAACAGATAAAACTGCAATCTACATCAAGAAATAGTATATCTGAAACAACATCTAACAGATCGAGCAGAATATTCTATTAAAGACAGCAGATCGAAATCAGATAAAGCTACTAAATTAAAAATCCTAAATCTAACGCTTTTGTTCAATTGGTGAACAAACTTGCTGCTGATAATAAGGTTTATCACGAATATTATTTTAGCAGTTCATTTCCATGTTCAAATCACACAGTCAAGTAGATAAAATCACCAAAAAAATCACAAAAACTTTGAAGATCCATAAATAACCCACAATTTCTTAAAGGATATTGACATCTTACCACTTTGAAGTTGCAACTCTGGACAAGTAGCAAAAAATTGAAGGCTATCAAAGCATCGGCGACCCTCGCCGGCAGCTAGAAGGTTACGGTTAGGGTCGACGATTTGAGGGAAACTAGAGAGGCGGGAAGTGACCAAGCATGCGAGAGAGAGAGAGAGAGAGATGGAAGGTTAGGGTTGGGTTGGGATATTTCTTTCTAATTTTTTAATTTGAGCCCATCAACGGTTGATGTTGGTTGTCGACAATCTACGGTCCTGATCTATTGGGAGGAAATGAAACATTTGATTGGGGATTGATTGGAGGAAAATGAAAATTTTAGAGGAAAATGAAATTTTAGGTTGCAATTCAAACTTTTTGTGTTTTCTGATGTAATTTTTTTTTGGTAACTAATATAATAGTTTCAAAATTTTACCTCCAATGCTTACCAACAGTATTTTTCGTTGGTATATTATTTTATCATTTTTAATATTTTTTCAAACGAAATCATCCATTGAGAAATTCTGTCACTAAATTATTTAATTTATTTTTTATTATTTTTAAATTTTTACCTACGGATTAGCAACGGATATTGTACCAACGAAGTACTTCTATTGGTAATTCTTCACTAAATTAAATATGAAATTTTTAAAAATAATAAAATGATAAGTCGGTACAAAGTCGTTGTTAATCTGTTGCTAGTGGCAACAGAAGATAACCGTCGCTAAAATTCCGTCTCTGTTGCTACCTTTTCTAGTAATGAATAATGTCCTATAAAAGTTAATTTTCATTCGACCAAGGTGTCAGTCAGGTCATACCATTTTCAATATTTTAGGCTCGAGACTTAGATTGTTCATGCAAAAATATCTTTGATTTTCAACGTGTTAATTTTGGCAACTTATTGCTAGATAAGTTGGGTTTGACACTAAATAAATTGCTAATACAAAAATTTGAGATTTATAGATACTATTATACAATATCTTCTTTAGCTTACATTGAAGAAATCTAAATAGATCAAAGACTAGTTACATAATTTAACAAACAACTTACCAATTTGACATGAAGAATAAAGTAAAATTTTCCTGATAATTGTTGACATGAAGAATAAAGTAAAATTTTCCTGATAATTGTTTTTTTTTTTCTGGCAGCCAACTTACAGCTCATACTTTGTACATTATCCAAATCCAAGCCCTAGTGCTTCAACAGCAATTGTTCCAACATCTAAATTGGTCAATTTCTGATTATTTAGTTGTTATATGCTCGAAAAAAAAAAAGAAAAAGGGAAAAAAATTATTAAACTGGGACAACTTGAAATTTTTTCTTATTATGTTTTTCAGGACAAACGGAATGTAGCATTTAAAGTATTTGAGGTAGCCCTGACCATTGAAATATCTGTGGCACTATGTGTACAATCTTATGAAACCAGATTTTGCTTCAATAAATGCCATGACAAAACGTACATTTCGGACGAGGGTTGGAGGATCTAATTTCATGCTACTTTAAGGGGCTTTGAAGTGTTTGTTTCTTTTTCTTTTCTTTTTTTTTTATTTTTTTTATTTTTTTAATGGGTGACCCTGGTGTCCGAGTTTTGAAGTGTTTGTTTCTTTATAGGGTAGAAAGCATCAATTGCACAAAACATTTGTCTGCATAGATTTGAGTTCTAAATGAGTATTGTATTGCAACTATTATTAACGTGAAATTTTTTTTCACATGAACTTTTACAAAAATATTTTGCCCTATCTCGTATCGATTTTATTTTTGGATTTTATTAGATTTTTATAGAAACCAATGTGCATGTCAAATTTTTTATTCTATTATTTTTATACGATTCCCAAAAATACTGCAAAAAAAGGTTGCTGAATAATTAAATTCATGTAAATTGTCATTACTACCCTTTGAGTCAATAAAAAAAGTGGCTGAATCAATTGTTACCTTTAATATAAAAGGACTTAATAGCATATAACGTCCTTACATTTCGTCTATAGTGTGCAACTCATCCATATGTTTTAAATTTTTGCATTTTCACCCATATTTCCATGTTCCATTGCAGAAAATGTCTTTCTCACCAATTTTTAAAGTAAAATGATTAATATACCCTCCTATTTAAATAAAACAAAAATAAAAATAAAGAACAAATTGCAACTATAGACCCAATTTTTCAAAAAAAATATAATTAACCCCACCAAAAATAACTTCACCATCTTCACACCTCACCCCACCTCACTCGTTATTTTGGAGATTCATGGAACTGTTGGCCTCCATCTCACCAATCACCACCCAGCTGTTGCTAAAACACCGGAGCTCACGCCACAAATAGCTTCCATCAACCCCCAAATACTTTCCCATATAAAAATTGAACAAGCAACAAATTTATATGGCCAAAATTAACCAAAAATGCATCTTATCACGCGCGCAACACGCCATTTTTCGTTAATTTTGGTGCTAATAGTGGTTCCATCGTCACGAACCACTCATTTTGATTTCGCCATATCACGCCACACCTGCTACAACAATAGACTTCTATCAATGTCATTCTAATATGTACCAGAATTTTTGGACAGTTATTATCCAATAAGAAATTGAAAGCTGTTGCAACAGATTTTGATTTTGTGCATCTGTTGATGTTTTAAGTCCATGAAGAGAGATGCCCTGGTGAATATAATCGAATGGTGTGTTGGGAATGGTGTGGGTCTTACCGGAATAGGTGGTAGTGCAAGTATTTGCAATCACGAGTTGGGCATTTTTGCTTGCAATTTCGACCAAATCCATTGGCATGAAGGTTGCATTTTGGGTAATTGTGTAGAGGGGAGTGAGGGCTTTTTGGTGGTATGGCTGTCCAGTGGTTTAGGCTATAGTTGGCTGGAGTTTTTTGGCTTCTAAGGTGACGGGCTGGCAGCCCAATTCGAATTTTAGGGCTTGATGATTATTTTTTCAAATTCGTTCCTTCAACTGTACCCTGCACTGGAAGAATATATGTTGTAGAAATGCCAATGGAAGGGTGAAATTCGGATGGTTTTGGCGGTGGTGGAGGTGATGGAGGGAGGGGGAGGAAAACAGTACAAGAGACAAATAGTTTTTTTTTTTTTTTTTTTTTTTTTTAATTTTTTTTTTTTTTAAAAATTTTGGGCAAAAATTTCAATTTTTATTTTTTTTTTTTTTTTTTTTTTTGTTTTTTTAAAAATTTTTTTTTTTTTTTTTTTTTTTTTTTTTTTTTTTTTTTTTTTTTTTTTTTTATTTTATTTTTTTTAAAAGAGAAAATAATTTTTTTTTTTTTTTTGTTATTTTTAATATTTTGCTATTTTCAAAAGTTTAGGACTAAGATTGCAATTTGATATTTATTTTTCTTTTCTTTTTGTGTTTTATTTAAATGTGAGGATATATTGGTCATTTTACAATAAAAAAATTGGTGAAAATGACGTTTTTCAAAATAAAACAGGGAAATATAGGTGAAAATACACAAAAAAAAAATAATAATAAATTGAAACTTAAGGACATTTTGCACATTATAAGTCAAACGTAGGGAAGATTTGTGCTATTAACCCAATATAAAATGGTAAAATAGGCATTGAGAGTAAAATCTGAAAAGTGATATAACTACACTTCACATTGCATTAAAAATTTAAAAGGGGTCCCCACATGTCACATACTTGCATACAATTATCCTTTCTCCGTACAGATTTTAGTAAGGATTATTCGCTCTTCACTCTCTTGGTTACAAATCGAATCCAATTTTTGGGCTGAACCTTGGGAAAAGCTTTCCTCCTAGAATCTTAGTCCTTATGGTCGAAAAGACACCATCACTTCAAGAAAGGAATTGAAGAAAAATAAACTTGAATTTGAGACAGCTATTCAAAAATGGTTCTTAATCAAAAGAAGCATGGGCTTGGTGCTTCACTCAATAGAACCACGGAGAAAGGCCACTCGTCGAGCTCTAGAGCGCGCATCGCTTTGAGAACTTGTTAAACTAGCATCTGAATCCAATTGCAGTTAAGGTAATGACTTTCAACATGGCTGGCGCTATACTGTGACTGGCTGGTGTTGTAAAACATTGATATGCTCTTCAGACATAAGTCTATTATCATATTGCTCCTAGTTGTTCAATCGTTAGATTCCCACGATCTCATTTTCAATTACAATTTGAGAACATCCATTGTTAAATTTGAGTCAGGGCTTAGAAGCATTTTAATGGGTAGAGAAATCTTTTTAATTAGTGTGACATAAGTGTCTCTGTGTCCCTTCTAGTTAGTGCCCTTCACGTTAATTTACATTGCCTTTTCTTTAATTGCAAAAACAACTTGTCATTTTAATGTGTTCGCCAAGCACGAGTCATTAACTAAAAAAATAATCCAAGTCGTCTCATCTTACCAGTAGTTCCTTATAAAAAGAGACCAGCGTGTTCGGCTAAGCATAAGAAGTTTACTAAGTTCCTGTTTGGTTTAACTAAAAAGTTGGATTTATAATGATTAATTTTAACCATGCATTTCATAAGATCTATAACTTTTTCAACACACATTTCATCAATTTTTAATAATAAAAAAATCTGATTTTTATTTAAACCAAAATGGGGGGCTGAGTAAATTTACAAGTGAAAAAGTAAATTTTGAATTAAGTAATATTTTCTACTAGTGAAAAGTAAGGAAAGAAACTTATTCGAAGAAAATAACTTTGTGATTAGAAAGTAATAAAAAATTAAGTTATCTATACATGTTTGAAGACAAAAAATTATTTAGAAGTGAATTTTTATTGGGCTTAACCGACTATGTTCTAAATATTTTCTCAAAAATAGTAGATGTGAAAATCCTAGTAATATATGCATGCTCATACAAGTAGAACTTCTAACTAAAACCTTCCCAAACATTTCCTCCGCTTTAATCAATGAAGGAATTGTTAAACTATTTTGATGTAGGGGGTGAGAATTATTGCAAGAGATTATTATGATCGCAGAGCAAGTGAAGAGGAAAATAAATCAGCACTCATATTCTTCAAAAGCCTGGATAAAAATGGGGATAGAACAGTAGGCCTTTTGGAGTTTAAAGGATACAAGCTCGTTGTTATCATATGGCAAAGTCTTAAAGGTAGACACTTAATAAGTTAAATATGCGAATGGTATATGAATTTTTTTCTCAAAAAGTAAACATGAATGTTTGATGTAGTACATAATCAAGATTATTAGTTTCCTGCCACAATTATGTTTTATCTTTTTGTAGTGTTTATCTTCTTTATTTTTCTTTTCTAGTTGTAATATGTTTTATCTTTTTATTCTTGATTCTAGTTTAGAATAAGATTTCTAGTTTCATTATTGATTAGAATATAATTTCTAATTTCTTTTAGATTATGTTTTTAGTATTTTCCAGATTTTAGTTTTCTAGTATTAGTAGAAGTAGAAAATTATCTTGCCTTTAAATATATAGGCATTGTACACTTTTTGATCACAATCCAATATTATTCAATTTATACAAATCAAGATTATTCTAATATGGTTCTTCATTGCTACATTATTTATAATTACTTCATAATTTTTATTACAAGAAATTTTACAAATCATTCTGCATCAAATTGGTATCAGAACCAAGGTTCGAAAGTCCTAGGGGAGCTAGTTTGATTTCATATTAGAGCGATGTTTGATCATCTCAAAACGAGGTTTGATTGTTTTGGAATGGCAAGTATGAAGTTTGTTATTCTATATTTGGATGGCAATACCAAATTTTTGTTATGGTAGATTTTTTGTTTGGACGTTAGAGGAGAAGCAACATAAGTAGTTAGTTGTGATCTTGTTGCTCGTGGTGATAATTTGAGAAAATTTGATAATTCAAATGGAGTTAGTTGTAAACTTGATGATTTTGTTGTTAGTAGTTATTTAAGCAAGTTTGGTTCCCAAGGTAATTCTGCTGGTAAATAATGCTTGGATTCAATTCACAGTTGTTCATAAAGGCTCTGTAGAAGAAGTGGAGTGTTTTGTTTGAAAAATTATTTTAGTTTGTTGAATAGTTAAGTTTTATTTCTTGTAGTGAGTTCTGTGTCAAATTTAAGTTTATAAGTTGACAAATAAGTGGGCATAAGAAAGTGATCTAGAACAAAAGAATGTAGCATATTACAGATTTGACGTTTGTGCTCTGATTTGGCCCCATAATACTTTTTGGAAAGGAAACAACGAGTCGGATTGGATGCGCTATTGTGATGTATGGTGAGTTTTGGCCATCCGAGTTTGTGTAGAACTCGAAAATGGGTTTTTAAATTTTAGTGCTATTTTTGTAATTTAATTTGTTTTGGATTCTTTATAATTTTAGTTCCTTTAGGCTAGGTTTCGTTTGAAACCTTATAAATAAATGGTTAATTCTTTGTTTTGGGCATCTTGGAATTAATAAAACTTCTTGATTTTATCGTTCATTTCTAGCGGATTCCAGGTTTGTGTTATTAAAAAATATATAGATATAATTTTTCCTTAAATAAATTGTTTATCATCTATGTTTTTTCTACCAGAACTCCAAATATCAAAAGAAAGGAGAGCAAGAAGAAGAAGTGTTTGATGTAAACATCAAATTTAGATTGTAGCCTTATTTTTCATTATGGTATAATTGGTAATTGGTGTGTGTATATATATATATATATATATATATTTATTTATTTATTTATTTATTTATTTATTCAATGTGGGATTATATCCTTTAATAGAATTAAATAGCATAGTGTTTCTCAAGAAATGTGGACGGCTAAGTAATATTCGTATGATTAAGATTCAATTCTTTTTAACTGTGGTTTGCTCAGTTGTCAATCCTATCACAAGATATGGTCAAATAAACGAGTAAGTATTTTCAATCGAAGGTAATAATATGAGTTGGGTGCTTGCTTAAAGAAATGCAGATAGATTAGACCCAAGTTCCAATTAAGAACTGATTTTCTCGAAACCAGTGATTGAAGATAGGCACCTTAATCTAACAAGGTTGTAGAGTCGCTTATTCTATCAATTGAGCTACACCATTAGTCTAGAATGTTGAAAATTTATCTCAGCCATGAGGACAATAGTACACTTAAGAGGGTATTAGACGTGACCATACGTGTAGTTTAATTTCTATAGTATGACGGTCATATATATATATATATATATATATATATATTATTGATTTGGAGTTGGAAAGATGATTAGAACAATTTTCTTAACTACAATAAGATTATAGAAATGGGGAGAGAATGAGGGTTTGAATTATTTACGTTATAAGAGATAATGAATGATTTTTCCTCTTTTTTTCCCCAATAATACAACTAAAAATGGGGAGCAACTTTGGCGTATTCTACCTTAGAGATGGAAGAGTTTAACTTTAATTAGCTAAATCAAGGCCTTGAAATCATAAAAGTCAATTTTCAATTTTTTGGGACATTCATTACGTGAAATCACATTTTTTTCAAATCTATTCTCTTCCTCAGCAAAGAGATCTCAAGCAGAGATTCAATTGGCTCAAGGGAAAATTGACCCTTTACCATTTATATATATAGAAGAAAAATTTTTAACCTAAAATAGGTATGCAGTTTTTTATTTTTTATTTTTAACTCATAACAATGTTCAAACCGATGGCTTGATTTGGTTCAGTTACAATAGCTGGATTAGGTTTATTTGGGTTAAAATTTAGGGAAAATTGTAGCCGAGGTACCAAACCTTTCGTTTATTAGCAGACTTTGCCCAAACCTTTAGTTTGTGCCACCCACGATACCAAACCTTTCAAAAACTCGCAGTGGATGTTCAAATGGATGGAAACTGTTAATTTGACTGTTAGTTGACAAAAGATTTAACATTCACCATTATTTTGACTAATTTTAAAAGGATAAAATGGTAACTTTACATTTTTCAACAAAAATAAAATAATTACAATATATTAATAATTAAATCAAAACACAAAACACTATTCATCTTCTTCTCCATTCACCCCCTACCCACCCACCACACGCCACCAAACCATCCACACAAGCAACACCCACAGATTCTTTATCTCCTTCAACCCACCCCCTTCCCTCACCTCACCCAACCACATTCAGCAATAACACCACCAATCCTAGCCACACAGTCCACCAACTCTAGTCGCAGACCACATTTAGCCACCACACACCACCAAACCATCCACACAACCACCACCCACATTTGTCTACACTGCTATAGTCCTCCACGTGTAAGTTTAATCAAGAGCCCTAAAGAGAAAAAACATCAAATTAGGAGAAGGAGATGAAGACTCGATGTGCACAATGCTCTGCCCATTTTTCTATTTCAAATCTCATACATGAATACTCATCTTTAGCACCACGAATCATTGTTGAGTTCCATTTTTTTGTTATCTTTTGCTCAGATCTCCAGCGATGCTGCTGGCTGTGGAATGGGAATAGGAGTCGAATTTTCACAACGGTGTAATTCAGCTTTGGGATTGTTGAATGGGCACTGCAATTGAGCTTTGACATCATTGGTCGTGCCGAAGGTCCATCAACTGCGTTTGAAAATGAGGATTTTGGGTTTGAGTTCGGAGTGAAGCAGCAACGATTGTAGTGAATGGGGAGATGAAATTTTGGATTCGAATGTGATTTTTCGTTTGGGTTCTATTTGGTAGTGAAGATGGTGGTTGTAGATTTGGTGGTGGCGACAGTCGTCGTAGTGATGGTGGTGGACGAAGGTGGTGGTTTTAGGTTAGGCATGAGTTTGAATTAGGATCACTGTAGCTTGTAGGATTTTTTATTTTTATTTTTATTTTCTAATTTAATATTTTAATTCTTTAATGTGAGAAAATTGTATAGTTACCATTTTACCCTTTCTAATTTGGTCAAAATTGATCAAACTTTGACATTTTTGGTCAACTAACGGTCAAATTAACAGTTTCCATCCTTTTGGTCTTCCAGTGCAGGTTTTTGAAAGGTTTGGTATCGTCGGTGGCACAAACTAAAGGTTTGGGCAAAGTTTGCTAATAAACGAAAGGTTTGGTACCTCGGTTGCAATTTTCCCTAAAATTTACCCAAATCAATGAAGTCGGTTTTAATTTTGATTTCATGTTGGACTTAAAACCAATCCAACCCAAACCATGCCTAGGCCTCTTTGGGACAGGTAAACAAGGAAATCAAACCTATTTTTATGTGACGGAAGTAGTACTAGTTATTGGTAATGATAATATTGCACCCGTTTATGTAGTACTAAATGATATTCGATGATAGATTCAATTAAATAGTCACATAGTTTTACATTAGTTAAACATATCAATAGTTTCACTAGACTCATATGTAACATCCATTAACGAAATACTAGATGATATTAAATGATAGATAAAATTAAATAGTCACATAATTCTACATTTAATTAAACATATCAAATAATTTCACTAAACTTGTGTTGTAGCACATGCTAGATATTAGAAAACATTAGTGAAGTCAATTCAAGTGCCAATGGATAAGAACCTACCATATACACATCTTATCTATATAATTATATATATATGAACCTTTAAGCCCAATGAAATTTCTGCTTGCATAAAGAGAGGCGCAGGAAATAGCAGCAATGGTGGTGAAGGTTTATGGTCCCGAGTGTGCTTGTCCAAAGCATGTGATTGTATGTCTCATTGAGAAAGGGGTCAATTTCGAGGTTGTCCAAACTGACATCTTCAAAGCAGAGAATAAAACACTTGACTATCTCCAGTTGCACGTTCATTAATTTAACTGGTATATTAGTCTTTCTATTTATATTATATATGCTCAATCAATTTATTTTATTACTTTGACCTCAAACTGGCAGCCTTTTGGGCATGTTCCTATTATACAAGATGGAGATTACACTCTTTTTGGTAATTAAACTGAAACCCTTTATCGAAAATTCCCTTGCCTTTCTTGTCTTGACAAATTATCCAGCTGGCAATTTTCGACAAGCCTTTCTTTATTTTCAGAGCTAGAGGGAAGTAACTAGAGTGTACTTGTGCACAATCCAGGGCTCTCATGAGGTACTATGCAGAAAAATACATGTCTAAAGGGACTGAATTGTTGGGAAAGACGTTGGAGGAAAGAGGTCAAGTAGAGCAATGGCTAGAAGTCAAAGTACACGAATTCAGCCCCCCAGTTTACAATTTAGTAATTCATATAATGTTAAGTTCCAAACTGAGGATTGCAGCAGACCAAAAGCTCATCCAAGAAAGTGAAGAGAAGCTTCACAAAGTTTTGGATATCTATGAAGAGAGGCTATCAAAGAGCAAGTACTTTGCTGGTGATTTCTTTAGCCTTGCTGATTTAAGCCACCTTCCATTTGTTCAGTATCTCATGGATCCTCTTGGAAAGGAGCATATGATAAGGAACAGGAAACACCTGAGTGCATGGTGGGATGATATCAACAATAGGCCATTTTGGAATAAGGTTGATTAGTGTGTTTTTGCACACTTATTTAGATCACAAACACGACTTAATTACGAGCAAAATATTTAAATTGTGACTTAATCTCATTGAATTCATGCAATGTAGGTGTTTCTATGGAAATGGTGGAATTCAGGAGAAAAGAGCCTAAAAAGGACTAAAATGAAGCAAAGTGATAGTTTAGGGATCAAAGTTGCAAATAATCCATAGATGAGACGGGAAATGGAATGAAGATTCAAGAGTGTTAAAGATCAATTGGATGAGAAAAGGAGTCAAAGAGGAAAAATATGGCCGAAATATTATCAAGTATCAACTTTCAGGCGAAAAAATTATGCTCGTGATTTTTAGTTTCTACTTGAAATCCATTTTTGGCATAGTAAACATTAGAATTTGAGATAGCCTATTTCTATCAAAAATGTAGATCTTTGAGTTTTCTTCCCAATGTACTTTTAATCACTTCAATCGAAGATCAAGAAAGAAAGTTATGACCAAAATACTAAAAACTGTCCGACGGAAAGAATGACATAACCATGCGGTTGTATAAAGCAATTTGGAGGCCGAATTTGCAGTTTCCTTATTTTGCTAAAACTCTTATGGAAACAACATTTTCAGAGTCCTATATAAACAAAAATTTGACCAGAACGAAGGGGACGCCATTTTTACAAGAAAAAGGGAGATTTTGAACGAGAAAACGAAGAGAGAACGACAGGAAAACATCGCGCCAATTGAAGAATTGATTGAAACTTGATTCGGGTGATAACGTTTCTTCAACTATTTTTGTATTTTTTTTTGTTTTTAGCATGTTAGGCTAGATTTTTCATATACTATGAGATCGATGTACATGTAATTTGATCTTTAATATTCTAGTTTTGCAATTTGACATTAAGACATATTTTTATTGTTTTGAATGATTTATATGCAATCATTGTTTTCGCAATTAAGGGCCCATAATTGTGTTAGTTTGGGTGATTTATTCTTGCATTCAAGAGAATTGGATTAGGTTCAACATAATATAAATCATCGTAAGGTCCAATATGGGATAAAAATATACTGCTATACCCTACGTGAATCTTTAAGTGTTCATAAAACAGCATGTATTTTTACATATGCACTTGTCATAGAAATATAGGCCGGTGGTATGTAAAAATAGGTTTGATACATCTCGAGAGAGAGTATTGAATAGATTTAGAAACATTAATTCGTCACAATTGAAGTGTGTTGCCACATTGTGAAACTAGGGTTTTAAAGTGATAATTGCATGGGAAATCGTGATCCTAGTGTTTTTAATTTCATTGATTCCACAAACGTGCGTTCTCAACATTTGATTTCATTCTAGAGTGTTAAAAAATATTGTTTTGCATATTTAATGTAAGTCAATCATAAAAATTGCATAATTAGGGTTTTCTTTCCAAAATTAGGGTTTTAATTAGGTTCACATCAACTTTAGTAATTTAGTTTCGGTTAAGGCGACGATAGGTAAAATTGAACTAATCAATCTCTATGGGACGATATTCGGACTCATTTAATCCACTTTATTACTTGTTAACGAACCGTACACTTGCGATAGTTTTAAATTGAAAAAAATAATTTCGTGAACAAGTTTTTGGCGCTGTTGCGGGGGATTGAGTTTAGTTTAATTTTATTTCTCGAGGCACTAATTCGAACTTCAATTTTTATTTTGCAAGTATAATTTTGTTTTTATTTTTATTCTAGGTTATTATCCTTTATTTGAGTTTTAGTTATTCAAATTGTTTGAATCTTAGTGCTCGTACTGGTTTTGTTTCTCAGATTTGCATGCCACGATCGACTGGACGATAATTGATTCCAACTGATCCTGAAATCGAGTGTACCTTTCATCGACTACAAAGAGATCACCCATACGAGCCTCCGATTCCCTTTCCACATTGGTTGAAGAATAAAAAATTGGAGCAACAGTACAAAAAATTCCTAGAAGTTTTCAAAAATCTCCATATCAACATCCCACTAACCGATGCACTATTCCAGATGCCTAGCTACGTGAAGTTTCTCAAAGATATTATATCAAACAAATGCAAGCTGAAGGACCATGAGACAGTGATGCTTACGGAGGAATGGAGTGCCAGAATCCAGAAAAAGCTCCCACCAAAATTGAAAGATCAGGGAGTTTCACTGTCCTTTGCACAATTGGTGATTTTTATTTTGATAAGTCATTGTGTGATCTCGGTGCGAGTATTAACTCGATACCACTCTCTGTTTTCAGGAAACTAGGACTGGGAGAGCCTAAAGCAACCACAATTACTCTACAGCTAGCTGATCGATCACTTACACATCCACGATGGATTATTGAAGATGTATTAGTCAAAGTGGATAAACTCATATTACCAGCAGACTTTTTTATTTTGGATATGGAAGAAGACAAGGACATGCCTATCATATTGGGACGACCATTTTTGGCTACAGCAAGAACCCTCATAGATGTGCAGTAAGGACAATTAACTCTGTGGCTGGGGGAGGAACAAGTCTTTTTTAATGTTTTCAAGGCAATGAAATACCCTAACGAGCCTGAAAGCTGTTTCCAAATTGAAGTGCTTGACATAGAAATCCCCTATAATTTTGAGGTGAAGAAACAACCAAACATTCATAAGGCCTGTATAGTACACTCTCCATCCGTTCTTATCGATTCAAAGGAGATTAAGGCATTCAATGTGGGATTTCATACGGATGAGGAGAGAAAGACAAACTACTTGGAGAAAGACGGATGAAATTCAGATGATAACTGTAGTGCGGAACAAGACCATATTGAGCAAACTACGTAGGACCTCCTAAGCCATATTTAAAGTGCCATAATTACCTGTACCAAAAGTCAAGTTATCGACAATAAAATAGCGCTGATTAGGAGGTAACCCAACGTCTCTATCCTTTATTTATTTCATTTTGCATTAGTCTAGGAGTTTTTCAATTTTTCAACATTTTTTATAGTTTAGGTCATCGTTCATCCATGCATGTCAATAAATAACCTAAGCACAATCCACACGAGTCCCAATGCATTGAGCACGAGTCATAAGGTTGAAGTCCTATTTTAGTCAGTCATGAGTCAAATTGACCAAAGTGCATGTTTAGAGCTAAACTTTGTTGGTGATTCACATTTTTATGATACGAACTTTATATTGAAACATAATTTATGCATCTTACATGCCAACAGTGTACACATGCACCTTGAAATAAGTTTGGGGGAATGGTGCATCACATGGATTCCTTCATGCACATCCAAGTTTATCAATTATCACCATGAGATATAATACACATACTTTACACTTTTGTAGGATGTCGCCAAAAAGACCTCAACAGGAAAAGAGAAGGTCGGCTCCATATATGACATTGCAGGTCTCAATTTTTGACCACCTCCATACTAATCAGGGGAGTACTAGTTATCCCATTTCTTGTGCTTTCAGTTTAATTTGTCCCTCAATTATATGTATTTGAACTTCTACTTTATTTCAACAATGAGGGCAAGGTTAAGTATAAGTTTGGGGGGTGGCATAATTTGATATAAATGTGGCATTTAGATTTTGGCATCCATTTATCGTGTATTATTCATATTTCATCAATACATTTGCTTAATTGTTGCATTTTGTGTGCTTATTGAGTGTTATGAAAAAAAAAATAAAAAAAAAAATCTGCATAGGTTCTTCATTTTACATTATTGCTTGTTTTATGTGCTTATGTGGGCTTAATAGCCTTGCCGGCTATGATGAGATTATTGGAAAAGATATTTATAAACTTTGGATATAGAGCTGGATAGATTAACCAATAATTGTGATGCAATACTTGATATTATCTATACACGCTATTCATGCTTGACATGTTAGGTGAATGACTGGATTTTGAGCATAAAGTAGGAAAAGAATGATAACTCTCTATTGAATTAACACGTAAATCACCTTAAGACAGTTTGGAATCGGTTGAGCTATTATAGAGAGCATTGAGAGAAGCTGGGGCTCCGTGCATGAAATTTTATTGTGTGGATTGCCTAGACCAGTGAGGTGAAGATTAGGTGAAAATCTTAAATTGGGGGTTGGTTTTGGAAACTAAATATCTAGAACAATAAGGGCATAAAATTAATTTGTGAGAATAAGATACTTTTTTTCATGTTTTATGATTCGAGCAAGTAAGCCTACAAGGATATTTCAAAATCTAGTGCCTAAGGTCAACTGGCCTGGGAGTCACCGGCCTAAAGTTCGCTAAAGAGATCATATAGAAAGCAAGAGGGAAAGAGGTTAATAAAAAGTCATCTGATCGAGCCTTTATAACTTGAGCAAGTAAGCCTGTAAGGATATTTCAAAATCTGGTGCTCTAAGGTCAACTGGCCTGGGAGTAACCGGCCTAAAGCTCGTTAAAGGGGTCATATAGAAAGCAAGAGGGAAAGAGGTTAATAAAAAGTCATCTGATCGAGCCTTTATAACTTGAGTGAATACGCGTGCAAGGGTTTAAAACCTGGTGCCCTAAAGTCAACTGGTTTGGGAGTCACCGGCCTAAAGCTCACTAAAGGGGTTATATAGAAAGCAAATGAGAAGATGATATATATCAAAAAAAAATGGAAAGTGAGAAAAACAAAAGAGAGACAATAACATGAAGAAAAGCCCTTAGACATTTGGTTGAGGAAACTATACCTTTGAGGCGAGACAAGTAACCTATTTTAATCTTGAGTGTCGAAGCAATCAAACTTGGGAGAGCCTTCACTTGTTAAAATGTAAACTTGTGATAGTGAGATTAATCCAAACTACGAGAGGGTGAGGACTACAGCTATGTAAACTCCTAATTTTAAAACACAACCCCGAAATAATTGAGTGAAAAGAATAACTTTGGGGGGTTGTGTATCTCTCGAGCGAGTAAGGATATATTTGACCACTTGGGGTCAGGACTCAACCCATCATGAATTTGATATATTGGCATGAATTCACACACAAACATCAAGTATGCATTTAACAGGTAAATGTTAATGTCATTTTTGCATTGATAAATTTTAATAAAGTCAAATACTTAGTCCAATCTTGAGCCACGGTAGGGTATTAAGTCATGTTTGTTCAGAATTAAGTCACTATCTTATTTGAGGACAAACAATAGTTCAAGTTTGGGAGGTTACAAAAACTTGTTCACGAAATTATTTTTTTCGATTTAAAACTACCGCAAGTGTACAATTCATTAACAAGTAATAAAGTGGATTAAATGAGTCCGAATATCGTCTCACAAAGATTGATTAGTTCAATTTTACCTTTCGTCACCTTAACCGAAACTAAATTACTAAAGTGGATGTGAACCCAATTAAAACCCTAATTTTGGAATGAAAACCCTAATTATGCAATTTTTATGATTGACTTAAATTAAATATGCAAAACAATATTTTTTAACACTCTAGAATGAAATCAAATGTTGAGAACGTACATTTGTGGAATCAATAGAAATTAAACACACTAGGATCAAGATTTTCCATGCAATTGTCACTTTAAAACTCTAGTTTTACAATGTGACAACACACCTCAATTGTGGCGAATCAATGTTCGTAAATCTATTCAATACTCTCTCTCGAGATGTATCAAACCTATTTTTACATACCACCGGCCTATATTTCTATGACAAGTGCATATGTAAAAATGCATGCGGTTTTATAAACACTTAAAGATTCATGTAGGGCATAACGGTATATTTTCATCCCCTATCGGACCCTAGATGATTTATATTATGTCGAACCTATTCCAATTCTCCCAAATGCAAGAATAAATCACCCAAACTCACACAATTACGGGCCCTTAATTGCGGAAACAATGATTGCATATAAATCATTCAAAACGATAAAAATATGTCTTAATGTCAAATTGAAAAACTAGAATATTAAGGATCAAATTACATGGTACATCGATCTCTTAGCACATGAAAAATCTAGTCTAACATGCTAAAAAGAAGAAAATACAAAAATAGTTGAAGAAACGTCATCACCTGAATCAAGTTTCAATCAATTCTTCAATTGGCGCGATATTTTCCTCTCGTTCTCTCTTCATTTTCTCCTTCAAAATATCCCTTTTTCTTGTAAAAATGGCATCCCCTTCATACTGGTTGAGTTTTTGTTTATATAGGACCTAAAAATCTTGTTTCCATAAGAGTTTCGGCGAAATAAGGAAACAGCAGATTCGATCTCCGAATTGTTCTATGCGACCGCATAGTACATTTTTATGTGGTAGCATAGAGTAAAAAAAATTTGAGAAAAAATTCTCGGGAGGCCTCTATGTGACTGCATAGAGTTTCTACCATGCAATCGCATGGTTATGTCATTCTTTCCGTCAGATAGCTTTTAGTATTTTGGTTATAACTTACTTTTTTGATCTCTGATTGAAGTGATTCAAAGTGCATTGGAAAGAAAACTCAAAGATCTTCACTTTTGATAGAAATAGGCTTTCTCACATTCTGATGTTTACTAGAAATGGATCTCAAGTAGAGACTAAAAATCGCGAGCATAACTTTTTCGCCTAAATTTTGATCCTTGATAATACGTCAACCATATTTCACCTCTTTGACTCCTTTCTACATCCGATTGATCTCTAGAACTCTTGAATCTTCATTCCATTTCCCTCTCATCTATGGATTATTTGCAACTTTGGTTCCTGAACTATCACTTTGCTCCATTTTAGTCCTTTTTCGGCTATTTTCTCTTGAATTCCACAATTTCCATAGAAACACCTACATTGCATGAATTCAACGAGATTAAATCACAATTTAAACATTTTGCTAGTTATTAAGTCATATTTGTGATCTAAATAAGTGAGCAAAACAACACTTATCAAAGGTCCTTCAACACTATCCCTCTCCAAATTTATCCTAAAGTACTCTGGATATCTATCTGACCATCGGTCGACTATGTTTCGTGTCACCTTGTAGCTGGTCTGGCTTTGATGTTGTCTTTGAGTCTCATGTATCTTTTAGATTGTCTTGCTTGTAGTTTATGTTGAAGTCCATATCATAAATAAAATTTAAGGGCCCGATTGGATTTTAGTTTTGAGTTTTGAGTTCATTTTCAATTTTGAGTTTTGAGGATCTGTTTTGAGGTTGTTAAAATATGTTTGGTTTTTCAATTTGAAAAATTATTTCTCAAATTAAAAGACTAAAAAATAGGTTTGATTTGAAAAATTATTTCATGAAATTTGATTATTCAATAAAAATAGAAGAATTTTATGTTAATTTATTATCAAGTAATATATGCATTTTGAAGTTGGTAAATTTTACAATATTCTTTGTCTCCACAAAAGTAAAATAAAATAAATAAAAATTTAGATGGAAATATAGAAAAGAAAATTTTAATGACGTGGACTAAAATTATTTTTATTTGTTTTCATTTAAGTATAATATTTAAAATTTTTATGTAAATAATCATAGCCTCTGTGTGGTCGGAATTGTGGGGGAACAAGAATTGATTTTTGAGTCAAATCAACCAAGTCTACCGATGCAATTGTCGTGCTAGCAATCCCTTTCAACATTTCCAAATGTCCGTTATGCCCCTCCATGAATGAGTGTGTGAATATTTTTACTTTGTCCTACCCTGTTCCAATTTTTTAACCGTTCAACATTACTGACAGTAGAGCCCTTTGAATTTTCCAAGAAATAACATGATAGTTGATAGTGCTTGTTTGTGGGGGCAACTCTCACATACGAACAATGGAGTGCATTCAAGTCAAATTTGGCCATACATGAGGGAAAGCTAATTTTCTTTTTT